AGGTGTTTCATCTGGTGATGAAACACTGTGTCGAATGTTTGATATTTCTTCTCAAACAAAATCATTTTTGAAGGAGAAATTAAGGATGCAAATACTAAGCAGTGTTTCATCCGATTTCCAAACACTCATTAAACATTAATTTCCTTTGTATTTTCTTAATGAATTATTAATGAGTTTGAGAATGTGAGATAATGAAGCTGAAACCAGAGGGGGATAAAATGTAATCCAGGGAAAAACTCACACAACTGCCTTTCTTTTTTGCAAACATTGTTGTGGATGCAGTATAAAATTGTGCTGTAATCAATCTGGTATCAAGGGGTGTGTGGAGGGGTTGGCGGGGCCGATTCCTGAGGGGAGAGTGAGTAGTACCCAGAAAGTCCTCGGTCTTTGAACTTCCGACCCAACTCTAAATCTCATAAGAATTTATAACAGGTTTCAGGGTTTTATTTTTGCATGTTTTTCTTTTTCTATTCGTGAAGACAAGACAAGTCTAAGATTTTAAAATAAGAGTCTTTGTGATATTTGTTGTTGTATTTTTCCTATTCTGTATCCTGTGGTAACCGTAGCATAGTAACTTATCTAGACCTGTCAAGTCCCCTGGTCCCGCCTCAAGGTCCCCCGGTTGGCCAGTTGGGAGTTTCCCATGGCAAACAATTGACATAATCAATTTTTAAAGAGAAATTAATGAAATTTTCCAACTTCCAGAAATATTCACGTGGTTGTTTACCATAATTTACAATAATTAGCATGCGGAAAACATGTTTGGAAATTTAAAATAGGGCAGAACTTTTTGTTTCTCAATTTTCTTTATCTCCTAGTCCCAATTATTCATGATTTAGGGCTCAGAGACAAAGGAAATTGAGAATCAACCTGCATTAAAAGATTTTGCCTGTTATATTTTAGCATACATTCGTATACTTTCAAGTATTCAGATAATCGACTTAATGCCAAGACGTATTTTTTTTTTATTATAAGTCTTGCTAGGGATATTGGAAAATATTGTGTGGCAGGAAATAACACATTTGGAGCTGATCAAAAGGTAAATGTACAACAGTGATGATGATATGTTGAAATTTTGAGTATCTGCAAAACTCCTTATCTTAGTGAAGATCATATATGTTGAGGTTCTGACACAAGATAGTTACTCCACCCTTGGAATAAGCCCAACATTGAAATTTGTAACAACTGGTACAAATTTTGTTGTGGTGCTTATTTATGTGGCAACAAGCTTCTCATTTTCAAATGAAAAAAAAAAATGATTGTAACTTCTTGACATAGATATACAGGTCACTCTGAGTGAAATGATTATAATAATATTAAAAGCAACCCAAATTCGCTATCGCGTTATAAAATATTTAGTAACCCTAAAATTGAAATAGGAGTAGAGGCAAAGCTTCCCCTGGGCGGAGAAATATTTCCAAGTTCGTATATCTTAAGGCTGTTCTCATACTGAACCCGGTTTGCATTGATGATCGTCTTGTATATCTCATGGTTTTCAAGAAGTATCATCCAAGCATTCAGAGTAATTTTCTTGACTATCAGTTGAAAATATCTTTGCAATGTTTTCTTTTTCAGTGCATACCTCAACAATTTACTGTAAACACACATATATTGCATTGAATAACCACTGAGATAACATTCTTATCAATATAGGGCCTAAGCAATAATAAAAAGTTATTATTCAGCTAATTTAGGATGAAATTTGTGTAAATACCTTTGTTTGTGTAAGATGTTCACTGTTGATATGATCTTTTCTTAAACAGCACAGCAGACAATGTGATATATATGAAATCTAATTATCATTTTTATCTAAAATACTGGTTTAAACCAGTATTTTCTAAAAACATCAGTCAAATTGGAATAATATACCTGTATATTCGTGATATCAACTCACCTGACACTGTAGTCAATCTTGTTTTGCAGCCTATAAATTTTAATTTGCTTTTTGTTAAAATCAGGAGAGCACATTGAACAACTGCATTGTTTCTCTCCTTGGCTACATATTTGGCCCAATTATTTTTTGGGTTATTTCTCTAGCCACGATAATATTTTATCAGTGTTCTCTTCAATTTTTCTTCTTTAGCAAACTTAAAAACTTACAACTTAAAACATATATTATTTGCCATTATTTTTTATTACACACTGTGTTGTGAATGCACACAAGGCATGAAAATATTTGAATTTAAAGGTAAGTAAAGGATATAATAATATTTACATGTTATTTGCATGGGGATGCAGTCTTCTTCTTTGAAAAAAAAAGGAAGGGCAAGATATGCTGAAGCATAAATCATCTTATTTGAAATAAACTTTTACATGCACGTAGCCCCCTTTATTCTGTAATTTAATAATATCAACATTATTATTATAATAATTACTATTATTATTAATATTATTAATATTAATATTATTATTATTATAAGCTCAATGTCCCATATTTTTTATTTTATACACTGTAGCAGTACACAAATTATGTGTCAAGTTTGTTTTGAAATACAGAACTGTAATGCCAAATTGCTCAAAATACACTATAATATTATTGCAAGCTTCAAAAAAGAGAATGCTCATCCCCACCCTAGTCCTTCACACAGGGGACAGGGAAGGTTCTCTATGAATTCTGGGTGAGTGTGGCTCACAGGGATCCCTGGGTGTGGCTTTCCTCTGAAACATAATGCAATGCTGTTATGAAATTTGAAGACACCTCTTTAAGGTACAAAAATATCTTGTTACTTCTGTGGGCATGGCCCAAATCCATAGAGGTTTATGTGCCCATTTTAAATCAGCAAATTACCTGGCAATCAAGTCAGTAATATAGTAAAGAGTGGCCTGCAGTGCCTGATGAAGAACTAGACTAATAAGTGCTCGAAACATCAGTTTCTAAATCTCCCAACAGTGGCCAGTCTAAGTGTATCAACTCAGTACCACCACAACTCCATTGCCAGTCAATAGTAATGTATCAAAATTTTTTTTAATCTTTATTCTACATGTATGTACATTTGAAATTTTCATTTGTATGATATTAAATTTTCTGTTGCAGAAGTTGATGCTTAAAATTTCAGTGTGCTTAGAAAAAAGAAGCAAAACTCTGCTATCTACACAGGTAAAACCTTGTTGCCATACTACATGAACACCCTTAACGGCATTAAGAGAATGAAATCAAGACTGATGAAATTCAGTAGAAATAGTTGAATTCTAACTTAGGCAAACAGAACAGCTTGATAAGTACAGATACACAGCTTTTTCTTGCCATATATCAATAGGTAAGTCAGTCTAAACTTGCATAAAAAGAGTTTGTTCTGTTGTTGTTGTTGTTATTATTAACTATATACTACTTCTGCTTAAGTCCTCTTTTAAGTCATTCAAATTTTACAGTTTTTTTACAGTTTAAAGAGAACTGTGACATACCTAAAAGTTAAATTTCTGATTATTTACGTTAAAGGCTAAAGAAGATGAAATCTCCTTGGATGATATCAAAAAAGTTGGCGATGGTAGGTAAATAACAAGATTATCCTGGTATAATAATTATTTGTCACATTGTAAAATACAAAAAATGTAAGGTTACATAATATTAATGTAGAAATGCAGAACTTACCTTATCTCTAATTTGCAGTGTTAAGGAATTTAAATGATGGATGGAGTGGTCCATTTCCTATCAGAGTAGAAGAGCCTAAAACAAGGTTTGCTTCAAATA